TTGTACTTAAGAGATTTTGAGGATCTCCTCTCTTGGGATTTTAGTTAGTAGTGGGTTTTCTTTTCTTTATCCTTAATTGTAGTTCCCTCATTTCGTTGTAGATTTGTAGTCTTTTAGAAAAATGTAATTTAAAAAATCCCCTTCGGGGGGCCAAAAAAAAAAAAGAGTCTGCGCTCCTAACCACTATACCAAACTGGCTCTCTAAGAGAGAATCCTTCCCCCCAGGCCTATTTCTGGGGCCCATGTTCAAACACAGGTGAAGGAACAGTGAATTAACTGCGTGGCAAGCCCGGGATTCACTGTTCTCCTGGCTGGAAATTGGGAACTAGAGTGTGTGAGTGCTGAGTGCACGAGGTAGCATCTGCTGACTTCCTAAGCAGATGAAATCACTTGGCCGAGAGCCCGGGAAGATAAAGAAGTGTGCTGTTAGAAAACACATTCCATAGAATGCTGTAATGTATGAAGGGGAGAGGGAAAGGAGGAAAAGGGTTTTTAATAAAAGGCCCTGCTTCTCCAAGGCGAGGGTCAGTCAGCTTTCTGCAGACCAGTGTCTTGTCTTCTTTGTGTCGTGAACCCATCAACCTTCACACAGGATTGAGTGATAGCTTGGGGAACGAGAGACCATAACAAAACACACCGCCAGATCGACCTTCTATATGTACTGGTACAATGAAAAGGCACCAATTTGCAGATTTTCCACGTGTTGGGGTTACTGAATAGTCACGTTCACTGATCGTAATTGTCTTGAAGTATACAGAATACCTTTATCTTCCAATAAAATCTCCAAGCGTTAATAAACCTTCCTCTTTTTAGCTGCAAAAATGCAAACATTTCTCAGGAATGCAGACACCTGCCCTGAATGCGTTATATGATAAGGTATGGGACACTTTCACTGCTGACAAAATACCTGCACAAATTCAAGCTATCACCCACGTTTGACTCTTATATAACTATACAGAAAAAAAATGGATTCCCCCCTTTCTTATCATTTGTAGACTCAAATAAGAGAGCCGGCAGATGCTTTGAAAGATCGTATTCTTTAAAAAGTAAAAGAAAGAACAAGATATCAATTGATAGGTGTACAATTATGGACTCTAACTCCTTTTGCCCGGGGGAGGCAGAAGGACACCAGAAGACGGACTGATGGGGTACCCACCATTGCTCCCTCTAAGCTGAGTTAGTGTGAGCAAGCTCACAGTTTTTCAGCCTCCGGCTCACACATTTTTGTCTTCACTCAGGAAGGAGGGCTCCAGAGCAAACTAACTGATGCAGGAGCCAAATAGCTCGCTCACAACTTTAATGCCAGCAGCTCACAAAGTAGAATTTTTGCTCACAGGACTCCACAGCTTAGAGGGGGCATTGGTACCCTCTCTCTCTGTCCTTCATTTGTTAATTCCAGGTGGTCAGTCGTGTTTGGTCTGCAGCAGGGCTTTTTTTGTAGCAAAAGCCCAGCAGGAACTCATTAGCATATTAGGCCACACCCCATGCCTTCCCTTGGCTTGCCTGGGCGCCCCACGGCTGTGGGGAGCCCGGGCAAGCCGGCCCTTGGACAGGCCGGGGAAGGCATGGGGAGGCATTTAAAAGCCTCCCCGATCCTTCCAGGGGGGGCCCTGGCCCACCCACCTCGGAGTCGCGGAGGTGTGTGTCGCTGTCCAGGCCTTCCCTCTGTAGCCACGGACGTAGAGATTTTGGCTGTAGTGGGCGTGGCCAACTCTGAAGCCAGCCGGAACTCAGTTCCTGTGTGTTCCTGCCCAAAAATAGCCCTGGTCTGCAGCAGTGGAACAAATTTAGAGTCCGGTGGCACCTTTAAGACCAACAAAGGTTTATGCAAGGGATGAGCTTCCGTGTCCAAGGCACACTTTTCCCAAATACACTGGAATGGAAGGTAGAGTTCAAACTTCTAGACAGAGGCTGAACAGCGTACTAACATGTAACAGGATGAAGATCTTTTACGTGTTTATTAATTAGCACCTTATGTTGTTGTTTTAAAGATTTTAATGCCTTTATTTATATTGGGGTGTTTTTTGCTTTTGCTAGGGCTGCCAAATCCCCCCGGGGGGT